CCCACCGAGAAGGCCCTCCCCCTGGGGGTCGCCAGCCGGCACTGTCTGGCTGACGGCACCCTGAGGAGACCCACTCTGTGGGAGCGTACCGGCCGATGGGAGGTAATCTGCGGCAGAAGGCGGTCTCGGAGATATCCAGGTCCGATGCCATGGAGCGCTTTGAAGATGATGACCAACACCTTGAAGCGCACCTGGAAGGGACCTTGGAGGTCATCTAGTCCAACACCCTGCTCAGGCAGGAAACCCTATGCCATTTCAGACAAATAGCTGTCCAGTCTCTTTTTAAAAACCTCCAGTGTTGGAGCATTCACCGCTTCTGGAGGCAGGTTGTTCCACTGGTTAATTGTCCTAACTGTCAGGAAGTTTCTCCTTAGTTCCAGATTGCTTCTCTCCTTGATTAATAATAATAATAATAATAATAATAATAATAATAATAATAATAATAATAATAATAATAATAATAATAATAATAGTTGGAAGGGATCTTGGAGGTCATCTAGTCCAACCCCCTGCTCAGGCAGGAAACCCTATACCATTTCGGATAAATAGCTGTCCAGTCTCTTCTTAAAAACTTAAAAACTTCCAGTGTTGGAGCATCAGGCGCTTTGGAGAATAGCTTGACTCCCTCTTCTTTGGGGCAGCAAACTTAATTTTCTCTCCTGTGCTGCGATCAAGAACCGGCAGAGCCCAAACAGAATGAAAAGTGACTAGGCTGCCTCTGCACATTCCCTTCCCTCCCTCTCTCCTCCCGGCTCCCCCTCTCTTTTCTTCCTTAGCATTAATCTTAATGTTTGAAATGGTCTAGTTTTGAAGTGATGTATTGTTTAGAAGCTGCCCGGAGTTCGTTCAGAGGAAGCCTCGGATCAGAAGAGTCCTCAGGTGCACTGAGGCACTCAGAAGGTAGTTTTCACTGACACATAGGCCTTTTTATCATCGAGATGAGGTAGTGGTCGTATTTTAATTAAAATGTCAGAACAAATACTGTCGGAGTTATTGAAAATGAATCACCAGATAAAGCGAGCACTGGGCCATGGCAGGTCAAAGAAGCAAAGTCACCTAAAGGGAGAGGACTTTATTCATTTTCCTGCCTAAATTATGAAGAAGTAACTTTTTTAAAAAAAAATAAAAAATAGGAGTAGTAGGAACTTTTAATAATATTCCAGAAAAGGCTCCATTCACCCCGAGCAGATGGTCCCTCCCAAACAGTGCGAGAAGAAATGAACTATTATTTTGGGGGGAATAGTCGTTTGAAGAGTGCAGGCAGCATTTTGAGGGCTCCTTGGTGCTGCTCTCTGAGCTTGCTTGTTTTGTTGCAAATGTTTCATTAACCCAGGGGTAGGCAACCATGGCTCTTTGATGACTCGTGGACTTCAACTCCCAGAATTCCTGAGCCAGCATGGGGGAACTATGGCCCCCTCATGACTCGTGGACTTCAACTCCCAGAATTCCTGAGCCAGCATGGGGGAACTATGGCCCCCTCGTGACTCGTGGACTTCAACCCCCAGAATTCCTGAGCCAGCATGGGGGAACTATGGCCCCCTCGTGACTCGTGGACTTCAACTCCCAGAATTCCTCAGGCAGCATGGGGGAACTATGGCCCCCTCGTGACTCGTGGACTTCAACTCCCAGAATTCCTCAGGCAGCATGGGGGAACTATGGCCCCCTCATGACTCGTGGACTTCAACTCCCAGAATTCCTAAACCAGCATGGCTCAGCTTGGAAATTTTCCCTTTCCCCTCAGCATGGCTGGCTCAGGAATTCTGGGAGTTGAGTGGGCATGTGCGGGAAAAACATCTCCTCTCCCCCCCCCCATCACCATTTTGCGGAGGTTGAAAGGTCGGGGACCGCTGCCCTAAATTTTCCTTACCTTCTTCCTTTAAAGAGAAGCCCCAGTGCTTCGTCTTTTGGGTTTTGCTGAATCCTTAAAAGTTTCAGTTCCCCTGAAAGCTGGACGCTGAGACAGTCATCTTGTGGTTTCAGATGGGGAAGATGAAGGGGAAGGAGCCAAACCTCAAGTTCTCTGGTCCGTGTATTTCAACATGAGGGATTCCTCCAGCGTTGACAGGTCCTCGTATGAAAATTTGCCCTCCAACGTGTATGTTTGTTCTGGGCCAGACGGGGCACTGGGGAATGATTGCGCCGTCAAACAGGTAAATCGTTCACTTTTCTGGGTAACGTAGAAATACAGGTGAGTAAAGCAAGCAACTTCTCTCAGGCCAAATATACATCAGGTATTTTTTTTTGGGGGGGGGGGAGAGGAACTGAATACTCATTTAAAACGTCTTGCGTGTATTTTCCCTTCTTGCCTACGTCGTTTAAGAATGAAGGGCGACTAGATTCTTCGTGGTTTCAGAACTCGAAAACGTTACTTGTTTGCTCACACAGAGCCACTTATCAACGAAGCGTCAAGCGTATTTATATGTTCTGAGCCAATTTCTAGATTAGAAACTACCCATGTTACGGTATGGGACAAGATGAACAATTCCCTTGGACTCTCTTTCCTTTTGATATCAATTGAATTTAAAGCCCGTGGCACTGTGTTCATACTTCTTTACATTGTTCCCTGTCTTTTTAACACAGAGGGGAGCTACTTATAGCTCAGGGTCTATAAGTAACTCCCTTCAAAGTCTTCTGCTGACAGTGTGTTCAGTTAAAAACTATCCTGGGAGCTTGGCAGGCTAGGAGGGAAGAGGGAGGGAGGGAGGGAGGGAGGGAAGGAAGGAAGGAAGGAAGGAAGGAAGGAAGGAAGGAAGGAAGGAAGGAAGGAAGGAAGGAAGGGAGAGAAAGAGAAAGAGAAAGAGAAAGAGAAAGAACTGGGTCAAAGCATCTAGCTGCTAAATTGCATTGGCCACCATCTGTTTGATAAACAGGTTTAACAACCTATTTGTGATTTGATAAAATAACCATATTACACAGCTTGCCAAAAAGACTTCCAAAACAATATATTGGTTTTCCAACAGGCTGAAAACATCTTTCAAGAAATGTTCCCCAGTGAAGAATTCTGCCCCCCACCTCCGAATCCAGAAGACATCATCTACGATGGAGACGGGACCCAGCCAGAAGATCCTGGATTCAGCAACCCACCCAAAGGCCAGGCAGAGAAGGTGCCAGAGAAGAGCCTTAAAGAAGAACCGCCTGAGGAATGACAAGGCCAGAACCGAAGCCTCGTGGCTCCAGACCCCGAGCAAAGTTCCAACACTTGTCATGCGTCATGTGTCACTCCAGGAATTTTGGGTGGGGCCTTTGCAGAGCTGGTTAACAGACTGAATTGAACGGGGAATGTGAAGGGCCTTCCAGCCATGGGTTAAAAAGTATTACATGCTCAACTCATTTCTCCTCAAAATCCATGTTAATATCTTGTAAATAAGGCTTTCAACGGATTAGGCCAGTTGGCCAAAGTCAACAGTAGCGCCCATATGTCATTTGGCTTGTTTTCAAAAGAAGGGCAAACTGATTGCCAATCCCCTCTCGTTGGGAACATATGTCTTCAGTTACGGCACAAATTCTTCTTCCTGAAAGGAACACCTTTCAAATATTACAGTACGGTTCCGTTTGGCTTGCTGTACAGAATAATATCTGAAGTGGCTTTAAAACTCACTGTCTTAAAACTCAGTAAAATTGCATAATAAAGCAGATAGCATAGCTTTCTTGGAAAGGGTGAGCTGATCGCATTTTTAAACATTCAAACGCCTGTGTATTGAATTTGCCGCGGGCCAATTTTTGAACTGTTCCAAAAAAGAAGGTTCTAGAAACCCGTTGTGGATCCCCCCCCCCACTTTCTGAATTGCATACATACAAATAGGCTTAAAAAGGACAACTTGGTATGGCAAAAGAAAGGCGGACAAGCAAAGCACGTTAGACAGGTACGGCTCAAAAGATGATACTTTTTTTTTTCCTCCAAAGGAGTCGTTTATCGGTAGGATAATTAATCATGTTTAAGAAAGATAAGGTTAATTGAATTTTTTAACGAGTGGCGGTGTTATCCTTCAAGCCCGTTGAAGTTCATTCAATATTCACACCTTTTTATTCCCCTGGCTGCTGAAGTGATCCAGTCGACAGTGAATCCTCTTGAGCAATATTTCTCAAATAAAAGCCGTATTTATGAGCAAACATCTTGAGGAGGGCCGGCACACACCTTGGCTGAGGGAGGCGGCGACACTGCCTGTGGGTACCACCACCATCTTTGGGGCCGAGGCAGAAGAAGGCAAGAGAGACGCAACCTTCTTGTACGTTGGTGAAACAAAACAACCCCTTCTACAAACGCAGGGCGCAACATAGAAGGACAAACCCATCTGGACAAGGTTCATCAGTCCATCGGCATTTGAAAGAAAGAGGTCACTCTTTCGAAGTCCACATTCTGGCTGGAGAGGACCATTGGTTTGAAAGAAGGGTAAAAGAGGCTATTTGTGTCAACATTGAGCAGCCTTCTCTTAACAGAGGGGAAGGGATAAGACACCACCTATCCCCGGTCTACAGCACAGTCCTTTCAGCGGTTCCCAGAAGATTCCCCCCCCATTGGCATTTTGATATGGGTGACCCTGAGGGCACAGATTAAACCCCCAAGTGGCTTCACGAGATCTCAGGGAGAGTACTAACATCCAGATGACTGCAAAGAAATAGGATCTTTCCAACGCCTCGCCCTCCACCATCCTGTCAGAGCTAATCCTTGCATCGCCCTCACCATCCTGCCAGAACTGATGAAGCTTCTTGGATGAGACATGAAACAACTTCTTAAACAGTCCAGTTGCCTTTTGAAAAAGCACTTTTGGGATGCAACCTTCATTTGCTCTGATTGTCTCAAAGCAGCTTTTCCCTAGTTTTCCAGGTCTACTCGTCTTTTGCAACATGATCTGCATTTAGCTTAGCATCCCCCCGAGATGGGCTGTAGAGAAAGGGATAGGAAGAAAAGAGAAGCCAACAGTGAGGAGAAATACAAAGGGGGTGAGAAAAAAAAGAGATGGGAGACACTGAAGCAAGAAGGACAGAAAGAGAGGAGGTATTAAAGAAAGGGATGGGTGGAAAGGGGTCTTGGTCTCACCTTCCCTCAATTGACGGTCTTCCATTCCAGAAGCCTATTCAGAAATGTAGACATCTCCTTGCTTGAAAAGTAAAGGTATGGAACCTCAGTGGATGAATATAAATCAATACAATAGTCAAATAACTTCATGCAAATAGTCCTTGACTTACAGCCAGTCACCTAGCAACTGTTCAACGGCAACTACCTGTTTATAACCTGGATTCGAAATTCCAATAGTCAGGCCCTTCCCCTCCCCTGCAGTCACGTGACCCAACTTGGGGTTTTGTGCAACTGGGACGTACGGCGATCTGCAGCATCCCACAGCCACGTGACCGCGTTTTTAATGATGCTTTTGCCAAACTTTATGACAGCGTCTCCGTCACGGATGTAAGTCGAGGACTGTCTGTCCATCGGCACAACTCGCCGATGAAATGATTTGTGCATTTCCTGAATCGATGCATTTCCGAAGAGGAACTGTGCTTTTTTTTTTTTTTTTTGAAGCAGCTCCCGACAGCCATAAATTTGTAAGCGTGAATATTCTCCGTCCTTTATTTTGTCGCAAGCCTCCGGGAATCAGGACGACACGGTGGCCTGCCAACGTAATAAATAATCACGTATCGATAATCTAAATTTTACACTGCGTTTCACAGGAAATTGGAAGAGGCGGCAACCTCTCCCTTTGCACGCACACCGCTCTTAATGCACGCACGTGCAATTCCAAGCGCGCACACACGCTCATTGCTTCCCTTGCCGTTTCCAGCAACCCTCAGTTAACCTCTGATTTCCGAAGCCCATCAAAAAGTTGTTAAAAGAGGGTGCAAAAATTCACTTTATGTCTTTCCCTCTGTTTGCCTGCAAATGGAACCGTGGCAGTATCCCTGTCACAGGCATATTAACAAAACAATTCATGTACACAATGACTTAGGAACATGTGATTTCTCTGGGCTAGGAAGATCTTTTTTTTTTTTTTTAGGCAGAAGCAGGAAAGATATTTTTCCTTTCCCCCTTTCTCTCCTCCTGTTCCAGAGACGAGGATATCTCTCGGTGTAATGTGGCTTACAAGCTGAAGAGTGCCTCTCCTATTGAATTATATAATGAAAAATCAATCAGTTTAATGGTTGACAAACTTTGACATTCAAATAAAAATGTTCCTGGCATTTTCATCAGCGACCTGTAGGCACAAATTAGGTGCAGTGACTTTAATTTATGCAATAGTGAGGCTCTGCCAAAACATTGTACAAATGACTGTATAATGAGGCAATAATAACTACAAAAGGGAGGCAGCAATAAAAAAAAAAGAGCGTACAACTCAAAGCTAGGCTTTCTTAGTTTTTAAGGGATTATATCAATTTCCCAGCTCTGTCATAACGAAAAAGCGTTTTCTGCTTTCCTTTACAACTCTGCTCTTATTCTAAAAGAAATTTCTCACACATATGTATGCAAATATATATGTATGTGTGTGTGTATGTATATATATACATATATATTTATAGTTGATAATATCCGTAAAAATACGACTCCTGGGCATAATTATACTCAAAATAAATAAAATACGACCACCAGGAGAATTTAAGTAAAAATACTTTACTAAAACCGCCAAGCTTTCGGAAACATCTACCGACTAGGGCCGGTGATGCGATCCAAGAGCCGGGTGCAAATGTCAGCTAAACCTATTTAAGTCATCTTTGTTAACTAGCTTTTTAGCTAGTTAGTTCCCAACGAAAGCTTGGCGGTTTTAGTAAAGTATTTTTACTTAAATCCTCCTGGTGGTCGTATTTTATTTATTTTGAGTATATATATTTATATATACACACATCTACACATAAATCATGCATAGACACATGCATATACATACACGTGCACATGAAAAGGAAAGGAAAAGAAAGGGAGGGAGGGAGGGAGGAGGGAAGGAAGGAAGGAATTTGAATTAAGTTGAAAATGAACCGAAGGAATAATCTCTTTGCAAAAACTTTTGGGAAATCCAAGAACAAATGTTCCTACAGTCTCCTTTTAAACAGCTCTCTGGTCAAGATTAGTCAGGCTTTCCATGCAGTTGAGTAGACGCCTGTTTAAAACTGAACTCTCTGGAGCTTCCTTCAACCCAAAACTCAGATTTTCGCTGAAGGCTGCAGCCCTTCAAAGTCATAATTTAGAAACCAAAATAAAGGATGGATCCTGACAGCTGCGTTCCTTCTCTCCACCAAAGCTTGCTTTCTCAGCATCAAAACTCCCAACGCATTTGCAGTCATCCTCTTGTGTCAGCAGCAAAAAATGGAAGGATTCTCTGTCACCTGTCCTGCAGTCAGCAGAATGGAGGAAGAATAGAAAGGGGGAAAAGCCACCCCAGAGATGCAGAAATGTCCTTTCAGCATTAACGTAAATATCAAGATGATTTACGAGTTTGTGGCTTTCTCCATTTTTGTCTCGGCTTCTGGAGCCTTCATTCATCAAGATTTTTACTCCTGCAGATCTCCCATCCCCACGGATGGTTTGCAAAGCTCCTCAAATCAAATTGAGAAAGTCACCACCAGCTTTTGCACCCAACGATGGGAGTGCTGGATGGAATGTGGCCTCAGTTGGGTTGATCTGATTTTTTTAACTACTTTGAACTCAAGAGAAACCAAGATGTTGTGTTCTTCAAGATGGTGGTTGTAAGGTTGCCTATTCTGAAGGATCTTCTCTTTCAGGGATGGACACTTCCCCCCCCCCAATGGAAAACGATCTTTGCAAGAGAAAATCTATTGGCAGGAGATGGTTAATGTGCAATGTACGGAGAGAACTATGCAACCACATGCTCAGAACATCAGGATTTTTTTTTTCTTTTTATCACGATGGAAGAAATGAAACAGTTGCCATTCCTGTTTTACAATCAACTGTGAACATTCCCATGTTGAGAAGGGGAGAAAATACAGAGGCTAAAACTTTCCCCAGGCTGAGAGCTTTGATGATACACTTCCATTATCAAAGTGGGTTGAGATCAGGACAAAAGAAAAGGAAATTGATTCCGTTAATTGAAATACATGAAAAACATTAATTGTAGATTCATATGATTAGTTCCACGATATTTAAACATCTCTCATCTGGTCTTGTTAAAAATTAGAATTCAGTGATTGCCGAGGCTTGGTGAACTACACGTGGACTTAAAAGGTTGAAGATCCCCAACTAAAAATAAGCTTCAATGATTTTTCCATAGTCTCCTAACCTTCACTGCTGCCTCAGAATAGAATAGAATAGAATAGAATAGAATAGAATAGAATAGAATAGAATAGAATAGAATAGAATAGAATAGAATAGAATAGAATAGAGTCGGATTTTTAGAATAGAATAGAACAGAAAAGAATAGAACAGAAAAGAATAGAATAGAATAGAATAGAATAGAATAGAATAGAATATTGAGAATAGAGTCGGATTTTTAGAATAGAATAGAACAGAAAAGAATAGAACAGAAAAGAAAAGAAAAGAAAAGAAAAAGAATAGAAAAGAATAGAATAGAATAGAATCTTTATTGAGAATAGTCGGATTTTTATAGAATGAATAGAGTAGAATAGAATAGAAGATATATTCACATTTGAATGAATTTGGGAAATATAGTGGATTGCAAATAAATTAAGAAAAATCAGAAATGATGTTATATAACT